CGGTCAGGAAAAAACTTGTGGGGAACAGATGAGCGGCTCCTTTCGTATTTTCCATCCATCGGGAAAAGCTGCATCTGAAAAAATAATAGCTGAACTGGAAAATAAAATTAGACAAGTCTGAAAGAATATGGAAACCATCTCTGACCTGGTATTGGAAAAGAGTCTCAAGTATTAGAAAGGAGAGAAGCTGAGAAAGGGAATGGACAAGTTTTGGCCTCTACTGGGAATATGGAAGGAATTATTTCATTTTTTCCCCATCTATTTGTTCCCTCTATGGCACTCTGTGTGGCTTGCCCTCTGTCTCTGTCATAAATATGTGGCAGAGACAAGTTTTTCAGCGGTCCCCACCAAGCCATCTGTTTTGCATCTGTGGTTATGCATATGTAAATATTATTATTAATAGTAGCAGAAGCAATCATAATGACAGCAGGAATAGAAACACTATTAATAGTGCGAGCGCTGACGCTGGTGTTTGCGCTGCTGCTGGCGGCCGAGCTGCGTGCCGGGACGGCTCTGCGTCTGGGGAGGACCAGGAGGAGGATGCTGCCATATGGAGCCACCGGTGGGCACAGCCACAGCTGTGTCACGATGGGGCTGTGCTGCCATGATTCCCTGCAGACCCTCACCAAGGACCTTCCTGAGGGAAATGGCTCCTGACCGCCGCCAGCTCCGTGCTGTTCCTACTCCTCTAATGAGGGGAGAAGGATTCACAGTGGGGGGAGCACATCCCAGCAGCTCCGAAGCACCTGGACACAGCTGGAAGAGCTGCATGGAAAAGGTAATTGCATCATTCCTGCTTATTCAGGGGCTGATTGGGTCCCATTCAGGTTGGGGCATAGAACTGTTTTCTGCACAGCCCAGTGCTGTACCCCGGGTCTAACTCCCAGCCCAAAGAAACTCATCCCTGTGAGGACTGTGGGATTTTGGGGTGTGCAGCCTGTGCTGGGAGAGGCACAAGCCAATGAACCACAGCTCAGCACACTGTTTTCCTTCCAGATTCTCCCTGGATCGAGGCAGTACCTTTGTTCTAATGGGAGGAACGTTATTTTGTTCAGCTCCGGTTGTTTTGCTGAATCTGTAGCACATTACACAGCCCAACTTCTGGTTTGTATTTTTTCCAGTTATCGTGTTTCATGCATTCTGGCCCCTCTCATCCAGCCCTGCATCCCCCCAAGCAGACAGAGTGGGATGTGGGCCCTGAGCTCACTGCCCTCAGGTGCACAGAGCACTGAGGGATGCTGCTGCCCTGCATTCCCTGCTCAGACACCCGCATCCCATTACCATGGCCAGGAGCAGGGCTCTGGGGCAGTGCTGCTGCCGCTCACACTTCACATCATCAAGTTTCTGAAATCCGGCTGGAACCCACCATTTTTGGAATGGGAACAACCCATTTTTGGCCATGGCAGATCGCAGAAGCACAGACAAGGGTGGGGGCAGCTGCCATTGTTTTTGTAGAAGCCCACTCTTTGGCAGAGCACCGTAGCTTCTCCCAAACCTCCTGCAGCAGTGTTGTGCTGAATGCCCCTGTGCCCATCTGCCTGCAGGAGCTGGGGCAGATGGAGTCCTCCCCTCTCTTGGATATCTTCATCCACAGGCTTTTAAAACACAAGAAAACCGCCTGTGAACTTCAGGAATGCATTCCTCCACTTGCTCTATCTGCCCTCCTGTAATGACAACAACTTCCCAGGGTGCAAAGACACCCTTGGGTAAATTCAGGATTTGCTTCTGGCTGTATCCCAGATGCCTTCAGCTGCTCAGCAGTGTCATTCCCCTTACGTTGGCCAGTCTGAGAGTGGCTTCCATGTGAGCAGGTTGACTCATGAGGTGCACAGCTCTGAGTCCTCTTTCATAATCTCACACAGTCGGTGGAATCACCAATCCTCACCCATACGCTGCGTTTATTTGAGGTTTGCTCTGCTCAGCAGCACAGCCCCTGTCCTCATTGCCCACAGAGCAGTGGGTGCCCCATTCCTGGCGGTGTGCAAGGCCAGGCTGCACGGGGCCCTGGGCAGCTTGAGCCAGCAGGGTGCAGCCAGCCCACAGCAGGGGGATGGAGCTCCATGATCTTTAAGATCCCTTCCAACCCAATCACTCTGTGTTTCTCTGACTTTGAGGAGCAAGTGGTGTCTGTGGGTGGGCTGGCAGATCAGCACTATTCCTCAGCAGCTCCTCTGAGGGCAGGGAAGCCCCTTTCCCATCCGTCCTCACACTGGATGGGCGCCTGCATCATTTCAGCACAGCTTGGTGCTCTCGCAATGCGCCCACCTCACAAAAGAGGCACCTCATGGCACAGGCATCTGTCACTGAAACCTGTCTGCACGAACTGCCGTCTGCACCACCGGGGGGAAAGAAAGGCATGACAGCACAATTAGTGAGAGCAAATGAAAGGTCGTTTGAAGAGGAGGAGGGAGGAAAGGGGAGAGCTGCATAAATCCCTGGTGGGGTTTTGGGCTTGACATCAAAACCCCTTAACAGTGTATTACTTCAGCCCCCAATGTGGACAGATGTTGAGCTGTGGCTCAAAGGAAGTCAGAAATCTTTCCTTAGAAAAAATTTGGCTAGGAAACTAAAGAAAATATTGTGAAAGAAAAGGAAATAAAAGCTCACTAAAGGAGATTTATCACTGCCCCAAGCATTTCTGTATCCTCCAGTCTTATGAGGTCTCAGCCTCAGGGGAGGGAAGAGGAGAAGGTGGGCTGCTGCTGCTCTAATGGGCCGCTCATTTAGAGCAGGCACATTTTTGTCCAGTTTAGTGATGGAGGAGGCTCACCCAGCCCAGAGGCTCCTCCAGCCCACCCTGAGCTCTCACCCAGCAGCCTCTGCACCAGCCTGCAGCCCTCCATGGCACATCCATCTCACGTGGCCTGCCCCTCTGGCACTGCCCTGGCTCTCGCTGGGTGTAGACAACACCACATGTGGTGGTGATGCCTCCCAGGTCTCTTCCTGAACTGCAACCACCATCCCGAGGTCTGCACCAGGGGTGCAAGGTTTGGATGCTGCTATATGTTTGTGTTTGTCTACACTTCAAGCTTCTCAACCACATTTTTTGCCCACTCAATTTTGCCACGTTCTTCTGGTAAAACATTTCCCAAAAGAGCTTGGTATTACCCACAAACCTGGAGGTTTTGATGTCCATTCCCTTTCCAGTGCCACAAATGATGATGCCGAACAAAACCAGACCCAAGGATCCTTTGGGAAACTATTGCTGAAAAGGAAGCCCTCCTTTGTCCTCAAAAAAATGTCCATTAAACCCAGCACAGGAGCCTGCAGTATAGGAACAGCTCTCATCAATGTTTTGATCCATGGGAATGAGGATCTCCCACTCACCCCAGCACTGAAGACCCCCACAAAGTGCCTGAGCTCCTCATCCTGTCCTGTCCTCCCAGGTCCCCTGCATTTGCCTCTGCCATTAAACGATCTTCCCATCCAGGTTCTTGGCTTCAGTTAATGCATTCCCTGCACTGAGATCCCCATTCCCTTTTTTAGCTCTTTTAATTTTCTGTCTACACTTTACTTGCTGTGTTTGATGGTTTTTCCTGTTCTCCTCATGTGGGAAACCTTTCCACTTTTTAAATGCTGACCTTCTCCCCGTGAAACCTCCTTAACCTTCCCAGTGAGGCGGGCAGCATGTTTTTTAGGACCTCTTAGTTCTCTTTGAGCCGTGGCACATGTTTTACTTGGGCTTTAATAGAGTATTTTTTAATCGCCGCCAGACTGCTCGCAGGCTCCTTGCTCTCTGTCTGCTCTTTCAAGCTCTGTTGTTGCTATTGACTTATCACCTTATTTTTTCATAGTTCCTTTTCTTGAAATTGCAGAGCCGCTCGCTGGGTTTATTTGCTGTGCTCCCTCCCGCTCCAGCACTAAATCGGCAGTGCTGTGGTTACCAGCAGGGAGCAGCCCTCCCACGAACACCTTGTGAGCAGGTCCTGTGCGCAGCCCCTGCCCAGACCCAGAGCAGCAGCTTCCAGCACTGCTGGATCCTGGAGCCTCGTTACTGTATCCAGAAGTACTTTTCCCAATGGATCCCTGAGCAAACCCGTGTGCAGATAGCTGGAATCTCCCACTATTACCACCTGACCTGAATTTCAGCTCTCTAATCTCATTTCATGTTTTCTGATCGCTGCACTTATCCCAGTCAGGGTCAGTAACGCAGGCCTTGCTCTATCTACATTGTTGGAATCTGGGATCTATCATCTCAAGAGCTCCGTACTGACACCCACTGGCTGTTCAGTGGGCAGCTCATAGAATCATGGAAGCATTCAGGTTGGAAAGGACCCTTAGAGGTCAGCTGGTCCAGCTCCCCTGCAACGAACAGGTACATCTACAGCTTGATCAGGGCGCTCAGGTCATCAACATCCCTGTTACGCTGCAGCAATTAGAAAACCTGCCATCATTTTATGCTGGGATAGATTTGGGAACGCCTCTCAGTTTTACCTTGGCTTTGTGGCTGAATTGTGCTCCCGTGGGTCTGCCGGCAGCACCTGTGACGGTCCCACCTTTTTGATTGCAGCTGCCCCACAGATTTCCCCGCTGGTCTCGCTGTGCCTTGGCCGCATCCTCCAGAGGGGCGCAGGCCTGAATTTCTGCACCCTCTCACTTCCCTCCCGCTTCTCATTCCAGCACTCCCGTGCTTTTGCCGCTTCCAGTGCCACCAGCATTGCGACCGAGCGGCAGCTTCGGGTCCGCTTCCCAGCTGCGAACATCTCCGCACGCCGAGGCTCCGGCAGTAGCCGGCGGTGCAGGCAGTGCCGCCCGGCCCGGCCCGGCTCGTTCCGCGGGTTTGGGATGGCCCCTGGCGGCGGCGGGCCGCGCTGCAGCGGCGGCAGTGGGAGCCCGGAGCAGCCGGCACGGCCCGCAGCAGCTCTTAGGGCAGCGCTGCCTCTGGCTCCCGATAAACCGGGGTTATCGCTGATAGAGCTCGGTATCCGTGGGGTTTTGAATGCAGTAAGAGGAAGAGAGCGTGTGTTTTATGTTTTGCAGGTATCCCTGTGTGCCTTGCAGTGACAGCACACTCCATGCATGGGGACTTCAGAAGCACCAAGGCCACTGCATGATGTTCCACTGAGCCCCTGTGGCCGGCTGCAGAGGCCAAGGACTGAGCTACAGCTGAGGGCAGAGGGTCATCTTCCAGCGCCACGGTGAGTTCTCTTTGAGGCAGTTTGGGAGATACAACCACGTGGCACTGGACAGCCTAAGACCCATCCTGTGCATCACCACTGCGCCAACTGCCCAGCACAGTGGTTGCTGGTCCCCAAGGAGATACATTTTCAGGGGAGCATGCTAAGCTTTGGGATGTGATTCCCAAGGGGTTCAGAAGAGGCAGAGCTGGCTGGTGAGCAGGATGGAGGCACCTGTTCAGCAAGGTGCCACTTCTCTCACAAGCTTTTGGGAGTGAGTGTGGTAATGTATATGTGTCAGGAGGAGAGGTGACAGGCCTTACAAGATGTATCAAAGAATGTACAATTGTAGGAGATAGAAAAATTGTACAAGGTATCAGAATATTGCAGTATTTTGTACATGCAAACCTTGGTTGTGAATGCAGAGCATCCTCTGTGCACAGAAGAGAGCATCATAATATTCACAATGTGCTTCTATGTGTCTAGAAACAGTGACCACGTGAGAGAAGGTGGGTGAGCTGCTGGGGCTGTGGGGTGTTTAGCTGCATCAGCCCCTTCTCAGAGTGCAGGCTTCTGCACAGACATTATAAAGGGTGGTGGCATGAATGTATGCTGCTGAGTGCCTGATGCATTTCCCCTGCAATCCTGACCCCTCTGGAAAGCACCAAGTACTTCAAAGCAGTGGAATATAATATATCTTGCTTGGAAATGAACGGCATGGGTGGAAAGTGGTGTCAGCAAAAGTTGTGTTTTATTCCTGCATACAAAACCATTCATCTCTTAAATGATAGCAGACACAAAGCGTGGACAATAAAAGATGCCAGAGGAAGAACACGCTCCCTGCATGGGACCAGAGACTCTCCAAGGATACAAGGGACGGCTGTGAGCGTGTCCCAAGATCTAAGGCACTGCAGGGAGAGCCATCTCTGCAAGAAGCAATGTCCCCAGGTCAGTTCCCCTCTGCAGGACGACACTGCAGTCCCACTGTCAGGCACTGTTGGCACGCTCCACTCTCTGGTACTGCCCATGTGCACAGCTAGCTCCTCTTGCACGCCGCTGCTTGCAGCTGTTTCCTTCCCGCAGCCTGGGGGCAATGCTGGGGGTCAGCTGGGGGTGCAGCTGCTCACACCAGGCTGAGACAGGCCTGGACTCAGAGCCACTCCTCCCAGCCACCTCCTTACCACGGCTGCACAACCTCCCTCCATGGTCTTACACTGAAAGATGTCTCTTCCCCATAGGAGAAAGAGGAGTCCAGGATCCCAGAGGAAAGGACCAGAGCGTTGTTCCCTCCTGCAGTCTGGCCCTGCCTATCCCATGCTCTGTCCTGCTCTCCCCTGGCCCACAAGCCTTGCTTTCAGCCCTTTTCCTCCCAGCACCACTAGCAGCATCCAGCTGCTGTGATGTTCTCAATAGCACTGACCAGGCTGGGGCTGCCCGGTGCCGTGGACCTTGGGTACTGCTGGTGAGAAACACCCAAAGACAGGGTGGCACAATAGCACACATACCATTTCCTGGAGAACTGCTGGTCTATCTCCTCTAAGGACTGTCCTTTTGTTTCCGGAACAAAAAAATAAATGAATATAACAGCCATCACTCCCATCAGCCCATAGAGAAGAAACATCCATGAGAAACCAATGGCATCTGCAGAAAGATTCAAATGAAGGGTCTGTCAAAGGGAAGTCATATCCTGGGATGAGAATGAAGCTGGTGGCTTACTGTGGGGTGGTCACTGTCAAGAGCCCTTCCAAGGGCAGGGAAATCCCCTTGTCTGCTAGGAGAAGAACTGGGGAGCAGTGAGGGAGGACTCACAGCCGCCTTTCCAGCAGTACCACAGAAGGAAGGTGAAAGTGGCTGAGCTTCAGCATCCAGCAGTGCCAACTGAATCCCTCAAATGACAGTTCTGCCAGCAAGAAACATTGCAAAGCTACTGGTATGAAAGCTGCAAACTCACGGTTTTCTGACAGCCCAGTGTTGTGGTACAGCCCTGTGCACGAAGGATGGTTTTTACAAAACAGGTGATGGAAGGGCCCAGAAAAGTATCAATGGTGCCTGTTTGCTCTCAGAGGCAGCAGGGTCACAGTGAGGACCCCAGGTTTCAGCACCACTTACTCTCCCATCAGCTCGTGGCAGCCACCTGCACTAAGCCACCTGTGGGATGTGGAGGGATGGGGATGGACACTTACCAATGAGATCCAGGAAGGAGAGGCTGATCAGTAAATTGGCAGCCCAGTTAAAGCTGTTGCAGAAGGCAAAGGCTCTTCCTCGTATTCTAGCTGGGTAGATCTCACTGAGGACCAGCCAGGTCACTGCACAGATTAGAGGATAGAAAAAAGTTGTATGGTTTAAGAAATGTATTTGGGAAATGGGGAAGGAAGATTTCAGCAAGGTTTTTGACACTCTGGCTTCACCCAGCACCCACTGCTGCTAGTCACTGATCTCAGAGCCAGGTCACCCCAGAGCACTCTGAAGCTCCCATGTCAGCACTGTGTGGAGGATGAGATAGCAATGGGCAGGTCCAGTGTGCAGAAAGTAGAGTGGGTAACTGGCCACTGAGCAGATAGGGGGAAAATGACATATCTGCCATCAGGACATGCTCCGTGTAAAGAATGGAGAAAGAGAGATTGTTGCATTTGGGCGAAAATCAGAGCTGAAAGCAGTATGTAACTTAGAGCAATCTTTCCTATCCTAGGGTTATTTTGCTTGAAATGATTTATGGAGTCACTGCCAAACTCATGGGACTTGCTGTGCACTGATGTTTTTCCTGTGGTTAGATACTGTTCTCTCCCATCAATGCATTTAAAACAACAAGTGCCAGAAAACACTAGAACTCATGTGGAAGCAAGAACTAATCTCCATTCTCATCTGATGCAAAATGATTTCAGAAAAAGACCAACTGATACCAAGAAACTTTCTAGGAGATTCCACTTCCAGCTCTGCTGCTCTTTCTGGAGAAGGCCCTCTGTGTTCCTCCTCACAGGGTGCTGTGAGCATTAGGCAGTGCTCGTGGGATGCTGTGATTTTGCAATGAGCAGGAAAAAGAGAACATTACAAGGGTAGTAATAGCATGGAAGAGAAGGTGATTATGATGCTGTCCCAGCCACACAGCAGACAGAGCTGCAAGACCAGGAAATGATTCAGTAGGCTGACAAGGATAAATTTCCAGTTTCCAGACACTCAGCTGCCTGGTAAAGCCGATGCATAATGAATGTTTCAAGCAGACTATAAAGATCAGCCCCAGTTTTATTCTCTGGGTTAGTTGCAAGGATATATAAACACCATACTTACTTGGTCCAAATCCAATTGAGAAAGCGCTCACAAAAGCCATCATGCTCAGCAGCGTAATCCAATTTAAAACCATATGTTCTGTCAGGGGAGCGCGGCCGAAAGGAGGGTCTGTGCTCTCCACTGTCTCCTTGTCAGACTGCCCTGCCAAGCCCATTTTCTGAGTGTGGGAAGAACGAGTAACAACCTCACTGCTCTGAGCACTGGCAAGAGCTTTTGTAAGGCTTTTGGTAGCAGCAGAACCGAGGCCTGCCTGCCCGTTGCCTTCTCCTAAGCCTGGTGGGATGTGGGAGGGCGGGGGTCCCAGGGGGTGCTGGGGGAGGCTGTGGGACACGTTGGGGTCTGCAGCGGCTGTGCAGTCCCTGGCCATGGCCAGTGGGGCGATGCAGCTGGTGAGGCCGATGGTGGTGACGGAGATGGCCATCACCACACCGCCAGCCAGGAGCAGTGCTCTGCGGCCAGCTTTGTCCGCAAAGGCCATCGCCACCAGTGTGGCCACCACCTTGATTGCCCCCAGCCCGACAGAGGCCAGGATGGCAGAGGAGTTGCTCTGGAATCCCACAGAGTGGAAGATTTTGGAGGCATAGCCCAGCACGTTGGGCTGCCCAGTGAACTGCTGGAAGAGCACCAGGCCCAGCCCCACCAGAGTTCGTCTACTCATGTTGTCTCTGGTCCTGAAAAGATCAAGAAATGAGTAGTGCTTCTCCTTATAGGGCTCCCGCTTTGCTGCCTCTCTGTCCTCAGCAGTCTGCAATTGAATGAGACCCTTCTGGCAGTCCGAGTCCCAGATGTTTAGTTTAACAGGGTTCACTGGGAGAAAGAGGATGCTGAGGAACTGCATGGCTGCTGGGGCCATGGCCAGCCCAAACATGTACCTCCATCCCTCCTGCGTATCTGCAAAGGCGTAATTCAGTGCGTAGGACAACAGGATGCCTACAGTGATGCCCGCTTCATACAGAGACACCAGCAGCCCTCGCTGATGTGCAGCCACCATTTCGGAGACATAGATGCAGCAGGCCATGGATGAGACAGAGATGGCAAAGCCCACCGTCATGCGTCCAATGAGCAGCCCAATAAACGACCTGGTCAGTGTGAGAATTAGGCTGCCAAACAACAGGACCACATTGCTGACCAGAATCGCCTTCCTCCGTCCATGGCGGTCAATGAGGATTCCTCCGACCAGAGAGGCAAGGAGGGCTCCAACCAGGAGGGAGCTCACAAGAGCCTCCTGCTTGAAGCAGCCAAGGCTGAAGTCTGCCTGCAGCTGCAGCAGTGCTCCAGAGATGATCCCCAGCTCATATCCAAATATCAGCCCGCCCAGAAGAGAGACTGTTGCAGACAACAGGAGGACCAGCAGTGCACGACCTGGAAAACAAGTAAGCAAAGTGAGGTTCAGTTTTCTGGCTCCAGCAGAAAGCTATCAGCACACACAATCTGCAAAAAGCTCTTCCAGGACACCCAAAGTTTTCTATCTGCAAAGCTACAATAAGGAATTTCTCCCCTCATTCATAGGTCATGTGCAAAGGCATGTGCACACACTCTCGCTATTCACCAGCCCTGCACACATTGCCATGGAATGCAGTGACACTTCTTGGGTTCAGAACTATGAAGATAGGGCTGTGTTGACAGCTTTGTTGTTAAGACTTGTATTTAAGTCTCGGACAGTGGTTTGCTTCTCTGGTGTTGTACATGCGACCCTCTGAGTTCTCTATTTCTTGGTTCTAGTTACTAGAACTGCCCAGGGCAGGGAATGCAGCTTCTACTTGCTCTGCATTAACGTTATAAAGTTTCAGTCCATGATTTACAGCTTAGAACACCTATAGGACAAGAAGCACCCCTCACCAGCAGGGAATTCCACAGGTCACTCACTGGGACAGAACTGCCCTGGCCTAGTCCCATTCTTACTGGTCATTCTTATTTATCCTCCAATTTCATACCTAATTCATTCTTCAAGCTCTGCACAATTCTTGTTTCTGAACAGTACAGGTGCCACTGCCCAGTGCACCTCATGCAATGCATTTTCCCCCTGAGCTCACCCAAGAAGGCCCTGCTCTTTGCCAAGCAGTCCCTGGACATCCTACATTCACCCACAGAAGCTGTTGCTTCTGAACTTTACTTTTATTGTCATTGAGCATTTATCACAAAATACAAAGTTACTGAACAACCTGTGGATCCACAGGGGATGGCACTATACTTAAGGCTTTGTGAACCACCATCTTCTTTTCCATTCCCCTGCCAGAGCCCAGGCAAAGAGAGAAATGGTTGGCCAAGTTGGTAAGTTGTTAACAACATTTCATCTCTTTTCCTTCCTCTGTGTCTTTCAGATAATTCATGAATGGCAGCAACCAAGGCAGAAGTTTTCCCTTTAACATCTCCTCATCAGTGAAGCAGTATTCGAGAGGTAGGGCTATATTTATTATGTGATTATGTGGCCAGAAGAACTACCGCAGTGTGCAGATTCCCTCAGAACTGCAGCCCAAAAACAACTCCAGGCTCTCATATCTCACTAAAAATAAAATCTTCAGACCTCAGGACTGCAAGGTAAAGAGCAGGAATGCAAAGCCTGCAGTGAGACCTGATGAATGCCACATGCACTTCAACCTAAGTTGAAAATTTAAGGAAATTAAAAAAAAAAAAAAAAAAAAAAAAAAAAGATTTTTTGGTAAAGAAAATAGCAGCATTAACTACTTCACTGCTTGGCAATTTAGTGGGAGATTGATGGCTGCTCTTCACAGCTCAGGGACGAACAAATGCTGGGAGGTAGGGACTCTTTGTCAAACTTTGCTAAGGTGGTGATGGGAATTTAAATTATATTTCTTGTTGTGTAAGAGGGAAACAACAGAGAGAAAGCCTTCTGCTGTCAGGAGCACAACCCTCAGCTCCTGCCTGGCCCCTAAGTTCTATGTGTGCCCTGAGCATGAGCGAGTGAATTTGGGCAGCTTTGGTGGAGTTGAGAGAAACCAAAAGAGTAAGGGAAAAAATCTGACTTGTAGGAAATAAGTAAGGGTGAATGATTAATGTAGCTGAAAGTGCTGCTCACAAGAGTTTTTCTCCTATCAAATCTTGCACTC